ACAACACGAAGCACCCAACCCAGCAGAAATTCACCACCCACCCTTCCCCACCTCAATTACAAACCCGCACGGCGCGTGGGACACAGCGATTGGCCTGGCACGCTGCCAGGTGACCTACCGCGCGTTTAAAGGCTCAACAACAGCCGTGTCGGTACGTACGCATGCAAGCGCACGTACACGTTGAACTTCTTTCGCGCCGTACGTCGCTAACCGTGCAAAGCGGACGTGCAGGAGGAAGTAACAACAACAACAGGATAACAACAGACTAACCACAAAACAGCAGTTCTAACGAAATGAGAAATACCGTTTGAGTTGTATGTGCCATGAAGAAGGGTCATTGTCCGAAACGTCACCCCGCGTGTGTGATTTTTTTATTTAATTGGCCAGATAATAACGCGTGGCAAGCTAGTTTTTTTTCTTCCATAATAGAGGTTTCTGGTCGATTCACAAACACCGCCATCTCCCGGCAATTCTACGAATTGCAGATATTCGACAATCATTTCGTTAGTTTTAACACGTAGGCTTTCGCGACCAATATTATTCATAATCAACGTTTTTGGGTTTAGGTCGCGTTATTTATAAATGTGTCGTAACCCTCCACCACCCGACACGGCTAATCAGTAAAAAAGTGTCACGTTGACAAAAGACAACTAGTTCACTGCTTTAGCCCACCAGTGTGTTGAAGCGTGAAACCACAACATGTACAATTTGAGTACGACGTTTCGCTGATATTGTTAGGTTTTTTCGGTAAAGTCACGTAAGTAAAACATTAAAATTAATAAAAGTAAAATAAAATAAAAATCACGACGTTTCGGAGGCAACACAAGCTTCCGTCTTCAGGTGGAACCGTCACAGCCACGACAGCTGTATCAAGTAAATGAGAGATTGCAGGAGCTACCACTCCGTTTATATAATGGTTGGAGAAGGGGGTGGGGTAAGGGCCAAGTACAGCACACTTTTTATTAATATGGTAAGGTGAGGCTTAAGAGGGTGAGCCTTTGTTATGGAGAGGTACGGTTTGTGACTCAACCTGTGACAAGGAGACAACCACTTAACATGGTAAACCTGTAATAGTTGTCTATCAAAGAAGATTGGCAAATAAGTGTAGTTAAATATTTTTTGCATGGTTAATCACATCTTTCCAATGATGTGATTGCATCCAGCATCATCGGGCAATTCGCCAGAATGGTGAGGCTCTGCGCTGTCTCCCGTTCTTATATAGAGCAGCAGCAGGGTGACGTCATCATTAGTTTAACACGGAGACTTTCGCGACCAATATCGTCAATAATCGAGGGTTTTTTTGGGGGTGGAGGGGGTTGGGTCGCGTAAATATTTACGTAAATATTAATAATTTCGTTGATTGCGTAAATATGGGTTAGATCGCGTATTGGTTAGATCACGTAAATGTTTGCGTAAATATTTACTCGATCTAACCCCAAACAAACCCCTATATTATGAATAATTTCGTTGATTGCGTGTTATTGTGGGGACTCAAAGATCGAAATGAAATCGTTTGGGTCGGTGACATGGTCAAGCGGTAGGTTGAGCGTTTTGCCGCTTGTTGCAGGAGTTCGCGGTTCAAGCCCATGGCTGCCCTGGTAAATACTACGGGTGTGTTAACCATACATTCACAGTGGTCGTTACAGATCCTGTGATGTCACTCTAAAGGAATGGGCCAAATATACTAAATTATTCAGTTGAAAGACGCGTAGCAATTGATCCTTACTGAGAACATTTAGCAGGACACTCTTGAAAACGGAGGTTGGGCAAGCCAGGGTTATGGTATATCCTCGACCCGAGGGAAGGGAGTTAAAAGCATTTCTGCAGTCCACCAATCCGCGTCTCTACAGTGCTGTATTACAGGCGTACACCCTCAATCCATGTTGAACTGGCACGAACTCATTCGGGGTTGACTCTCAAATGGCCAAATTGAATTTGGACAGAAATATCTCATCCACAATAGACCCTGCAAATTCCTGATTGTCTAATTGAATTCAGCAGCCGTGGCCAGAATCCACTTGCATGGAAACGCCACCGCAGTCCTATGATGTTGCCCATCTGAATGCATTACATTTTCTGGCCATCTGAATGAATTCAATGTGATATCGCTCACTGCTGTTTAGATCAATTAAGGGCCGGACGCGTTTCACGAGACCACATAACTGAAGCCAACCTAAATAAATAATGTTGGCTCGTTACAATTGTGTGGCAGTTAATCAGGAGAGTGTGTTGGGATTAAGCCTGCAATACGTTTATTCCCAGCCCCTCTAACGCTTGTGATGCTATGAATGGTTATGATTCGGGGACCCCATTCAATCTAAGATTATGATACCATACTCTGGATTGAAAGTCCAGTGTGGTAACCACCACACCATGACAGTCATAACATATGATAATTGTTTTTTTACCCTTCTATCTGGCAACAAAACTGACACCTTTGTTTACAAGGAGTCATGTTTGCATAGACCACAATACCTGCAGCCATAATGCAAACAAAAAACATAACTCTGATAATATATGCACTGTCCTTGAAGTTGATTGGTCCACACACGAGACAGCTTTCCTTAGAGCCTAGTCTCACATGGGTTGGACCAGATGACGCCAAAAGGCGCACAACTCAAAGACAATGCACCATCAGAGTATGAGAGCTCGGGGTAAGCATTTAAGAGGTTCCAATAGTCATAACATACATTAGACTTCAACATAATTTTGGATCACATTTAAGTCGCATAGTCATTGCAAAGCATAGATGATGTATGCATCAAACCTGGCACTCTTTCATAACTGAAGAGGTTACGCAAAAGGTCAAATGTTGTGGAGTTTTGCGGTTATGCTTTAAGGCCCTCTGATGTATTTTCAGTTCATACTGTGTATTGTTGGGCACTACGTCCGACGTTTCGGTCCACATGCTAGGAGATTTTCACAAATACAGAATCCCGTGCAGAAAAACGTCGGACATCGTGCCGAACGACACACAGCACGATCCAGGCAGAGAATCAGAATATTTATTTATCCTGCAGAAATCCGATTAACTATGAAACTCTTTTTCACAGATTTCCAGTCGACACACATCGAAGATCTATCAAGAGCCATTCGTTTGCCGCAAATTCAAGTTGAGTTTTAAGTTTATTTCATTTAACCGGGTGAAAACTAAAGATACCAGAATAATCGAATGTACAACTGTCACCTGGGTTACCAAAATGACAAAGGCAAGAACATAAAAAACTGCGTTAAAGAGGAACCAGAAAACAACGCAGCCTCCTGCCTGCCAACACGTCGTCAGCGTGGAAGAGTAGACCAAATACCCTCTAGAGCTCCCTGGAGAAGAGGCCCTGACCCAACAGTTGGCGTGAAGCCATCAACTGCAGGAATGCACATCGACCTTGCATATTTAAACTATAAACACTTTACTCTTTGGTTCTTTCTGTAAAGTCACGTAGAAAGAAAATACCTGACTTGTGACTTTACCGAAAGAACCAAAGAGTAATTCCTGCAGTCTCGAAAGATTCAAATCAAGTATAAACACTTTCTTTTTATTACACACTTTTTATTAATTCACTCTGTCTGTTGTTGTTGTTGCCGTTGTTGTATCCCCAAATATTGTAACTCAATTTTAACCCACTTCCCAATGTGGTATCGACTGCAAACTTGGTATACTGATGCCATACTAAAGACAATACTATATTCGATCATAATTTTTTTTAAACATTATTTTTTATTTCGATTTAAAGCTTTCGTGACTGCAGGGATTCATCTTCTTGTTTCTTTCGGTAAAGTCACGTAGAAGGGAAGTAATAAAATAATAAAAATAAAACATAATAAAACAATTCTCACGACGTTTCGGCTACAACGCAAGCAGCCGTCTTCAGGTGAAGAATGAGACACTACCAAACTAGGAGCTTATATATAAGCTGCATTGGGGGTTGAAGAGCGCCTTAACAAAAAGAATGTGCATGTGAAGAGGAATTTAGCATATTCATGGAAATGCGTAGGCGTTGGGCGGGGGGGTGTCAAAGTCATATTATGCCCATGCATTATGCAGGATCAGCAGCAACCAAGGGGGGTGCAGGGATTATCAGTAACAAAGGAAAGGAATGTTAATGATATGTAGTTGTTGAGTAACTGCAGCTACATATCATTAACATTCCTTTCCTTTGTTACTGCTAATCCCTGCACCCCCCTTGGTTGCTGCTGATCCTGCATAATGCATGGGCATAATATGACTTTGACACCCCCCCGCCCAACGCCTACGCATTTTCCATGAATATGCTAAATTCCTCTTCACATGCACATTCTTTTTGTTAAGGCGCTCTTCAACCCCCAATGCAGCTTATATATAAGCTCCTAGTTTGGTAGTGTCTCATTCTTCACCTGAAGACGGCTGCTTGCGTTGTAGCCGAAACGTCGTGAGAATTGTTTTATTATGTTTTATTTTTATTATTTTATTACTTCCCTTCTACGTGACTTTACCGAAAGAAACAAGAAGATTATTTTTTATATGTTATGTTTCGGCTTGGGTCGAATTGTCCACGCTTAACTCACGTTGGCTGTAAATCACCACGACCCCTTACGTTGTGGCAAGCTTCAGGGCCACTTCCTGGAGTCGTGGAGTTATGCCATTACGAGTAGGATACATTTCATTAAAGCGTGTTTTTTAAACGTTTTTTTTATATTACTTATTTATTTCACCAGGTAAGGCCCACTGAGCCGTGTAGCACTTTTTCAGATGCTACCTGGCCACAAATGATAGCTCACCAAAGTGGCTTATCACGTGAAAATGTATAGTTGCAGCCGAATACTCTAGACGCACGTTTGTTTATAAATGCGAAGGGGAAAAAAACATCCACGCAGCCACGGGGAGAGAGAGAGCGAGAGAGAGAAAACAACATTTGCAAACTCCAAATATACAGCAGGCGTCGGAATCGAACCCACCACCAACCTCCTGTATACCGAGCGAGATAGTTAACATCTCACGTTGAGTGACCAAGCAATGCCCTTACCTGGCAGAAGCAGCCGTCGCCGGCACCTGCCACGAGAAAGATATTGTCCGTGTCGGCCGTGTTGGAGAATCCTCCCCAGCCGTGGAAGGAGGCCGAGACGCCACAAGCCATCACGAAGAGCACGGCCAGGGCGAGTGATGAGGCCACGCGAAGCGGCATGAGGACACCGACGGACATTCTCGGCTCGTTGCGTGTGGAGGAGATAGATGGAGGAGGCAGTGGTTGTGGTGGCGCATGCGTCAGACTCTGCGTCCCATGTACAGAGTCAGTGCCTTGCTGCGTCCGCTGACCGATATACCTGTGGGCAGGTGTGAGAGTTGCGCGTGGCAAGTGTCTGCGTTGTGTGCCTGTCACATGCGCAGTGTCAACGTCCTACAGACGATGTCTCTGTCCTATATCCGTGTCCAGCAGCACCACCGTATGCCTCACCTGTGTGTCTGTCTATGCCAGGCCAAGTGTCCTAGCCGTGTTTGGCATATGCACCTATGCTCGTGTCTGGAATGTGGCTGAGCGAAATTCACTATTTTATACACTGCGTGATGATCTACTGTGTGCCTGTCCTGTACTCTGAGTGCCCTGTAGACTTTGGTGTCTGTCCTGTGACTCTGCCCCGTATTATCCACTGTCTGTCCTTGTATCTGGCCTGCTTACAATGCGTGTAGATGCCGCATGAAACTGCACACACACACAGAGCATCGGATGGAGCCACACAGATATGACGCCTATCACTGCTACTACCACCACCACTAACTACTATTAAGCTCACCACCAACACAGCAATCACCTGCCGTCGCCCTGCTCAGGAGTTGAAACACAACTTATGCGCATGCCAGCAGTGCTATTTATAGGCTCGGGGAGTGGTTGACTTGGGGGTGTGGGGGGGCTACGTGAGGCTGAGTGAGTGAACCCACTCCGGGTCGCGCGAGTCGATGGGTAGGGCCAATCCGACTAAGCAATGGACACGTGAAACACAGACTTTGCGCAAGACTTCTTATTTTCTTTTTTAAAAACCAGTCAACATCCATGCGTTGGGCAAACGTCGAGCCAACGTTGCTGCCATCGTTTCCAGCCGCACGCCAACGATAGCGTGTTCTTGGTTCTTTAGGTAAAGTGTATAGAAAACCAAAAATAAAATAAAAAATTGAAAAATACGAATTTTAATCATAAAAAAATGAAAATCATAAAAAAATAAAAATAGAAAAGAATCAATGTTATTATTATTTTTCTTTTTTTTATCTACGTGACTTTACCGAAAGAACCAAGAATATGAATTCCTGCACAGTCACGAAAGTTTGAAGTCTAAACGACAGCGTGCTTGCGTCTGCCCGTGCCAAGCGCCACTATGGGGCCACCCATTCAGTAGGTACGCATGGAAGGGGGTGGGGGGTTAACCCAAACGCGTTCGTTTGCGTATGGGGGGGGGGGTCTACTGACAATGTGCGTACGCATAGGAAACGGGGGTGGGGGGGGGTGAAGCCTCGATAATAATTTGTCTACATTGGCTTTCAAATCAGTTAGATGGTCCGGCGGTGGACGATCTGTTTGCTTAAACACGTTAATATTATTAATCCTTGATCGTTTTTGCGTGGATTGAATATCGGCCGTTTTATAGGATTTGGGGGTGGGGGGTAAAAAAGTCCGCGTGCGTCCAGGTAGGGGGGGGAAGGGCTCAAGTTTTGACAGATTTTCTGCGTACCTACTAAATGGATGGCCCCTAGTGGTGGTGGTGTCTTTTTTATTTCGATTTGTGCGTTTAAACAAAAGGGGGATATCGTGCGAGCCGATGGCCGCTGTGACCCTTTCAGCTGCCGAAGACGGGGGAGCGATCGATGGGGGTGGAGTGAGCATAAGCGGATGTGTTGTGTGTGCCTGTTGGTACTGAACGACACTTGTTCGTGTGCTGCCAAGGGGGTGTGTGTGTGGGGGGGGGGGGGTGTGGGGGGGAGGTGTGGGGGGGGGTGTGTGGGGGGGGAGTGTGTGGGGGGGGGTGTGTGGGGGTGGGTGGTGTGTGTGGGGGGGTGTGTGGGGGGGAGGTGTGTGGGGGGGTGTGGTGTGTGTGGGGGGGAGTGTGTGGGGGGGTGTGTGGGGGGGAGGGGTGTGGGGGGGAGGTGTGTGTGGGGGGGTGTGTGTGTGGGGGGGAGGTGTGTGTGGGGGGGGGGTGGGGGGGTGTGTGTGTGGGATGGGGGGTAGGGGGGACGTGGTGTGTGTGGGGGGGACGTGGTGTGTGTGGGGGACAGGTGGAGTGTGTGTGGGGGGGGAGGTGGTGTGTGTGGGGGGGAGGTGTGTGTGTGGGGGGTGTGGGGGGGGGTGTGTGTGGGGTGGGGGGTAGGGGGGACGTGGTGTGTGTGGGGGAAAGGTGGAGTGTGTGTGGGGGGGGGGAGGTGTGTGGGGGGGGGAGGTGTGTGTGTGTGGGGGGGGGGGCGTGGTGTGTGTGGGGGGGAGTGTGGGGGGGGGGGAGAGGTGGTGTGTGTATGGGGGGGGGGGACGCGGTGTGTGGGTGGGTGGGAGTTTCACCCACAATATATAATCTGTGACAGCGAAATATTCCACGATGCTTCCCAATTTTCACGACATGACGATTACAGTGTAACCGACATTTGTTTTGTTCCTGGGTAGTAAGTGTTATTTTATAATTGGTTATGCCTAAAAGTACAGAAAATGGCTATTATTCCACACAAACCTTGCTTTTGTGACCAGGACAGTGATATTTTGAAATGTACCGATTTTCAATGAGAAAACGTGTGCGTTTGTATAATTCCTTCACGTAAAGTTCTGGTCACAAAAGCAAAGTTGGTTGTTGTGGAGGATCCTATGCAAGAACCACTTCAGGCATCACTCGCCACTGATGTTAGCCGTGGACGGGAATTGCTACTCGGACGGTTCAAAAGATTTAGTTTGTTTAAACGGGTGAGAATAATTCAGTCGACGAGAATACGTTTAATTCGCAAGAGTGACCCCCGGGGACACAAAAAAAACGATCAAATGCACAAACGTAAAAACAATGAAGCAATTGGAAATCAGAGCAGAAAAAACCGCGCGCAAGCACTAGCTTTATGATATTGATCTGGAGGAGTGGATTCGACCAATGTGTACTCAAGAAAACAAATATATGTTTTTTGGGGGGAATGAACAGAGTTCGTGTTATATATTTAATTAAGCGAAGTGGTGTCGTTTTGTCACTGTAGATGGAAATCGCCCACGCATTACGTTGCGTGCGTGGAATTTAAGTCCACTGACTCATTCAATTAGCATATACTACACCACTGGAAACAGCGTGATGATGATGATGATGGTGTTTAAATGGGTGCACGATTTAAATGTCGTACACACAACGTGCAAACTAGCGGGTTAAACGACTGTATTGTGTAAACAAATTGTTTGGTGATGCTACGCTGATTGGCAAGTGATGCACAAGCACAGTTAATTAATTATAAACATAACTCGTTCGTCAATAACACCTCTGTGGCCTCAAAGGAAAACAAATCAATTATTTTTACGTGCTGCGGAGAAGGGTCCATCGCCCGAAACGTCGCTAAATTATTCAAAAAAATTCGGCACAATCATCGACAACACTGCCTTAAACACGCACAATTATATAATTGGCAACTATTCAGGCATTTGCCTGAATCGTAGCACATTAACAACATTTTTTCCCCAATTGAAGGTCGTGTTAATGACCAATGTGTCGGGTTAAACTTACATGTTATACAAACTCGCCTTCAACAATAAACCATGACGGGAATATCAGCACGCTTTGCATGTCAAGATGACATCACCGTCGTTGGACTTAAAGCTTTCGTGACTGCAGGGATTCATCTTCTTGGTTCTTTCGGTAAAGTCACGTAGAAGGAAGATAATAAAATAATAAAATATATGTATTTACCGAAAGAACCAAGAATATGATAAAATTAATGTTAAATAAAAATAATATAATTTCGATTTGAAGCTTTCGTGACTGCAGGGATTCATCTTCTTGGTTCTTTCGATAAAGTCACGTAGAAGGGAAATAATAAACTAATAAAAATAAAACATAATAAAATACAATTCTCACGACGTTTCGGCCACAACACAAGCAGCCATTCTCAGGTGAAGAAACATAGCTGTCGGAAAGACAGCGTCCCAATGAACAAAAGAGTTTACATATCAACAGCGGAATTAAGCATATTAATGGAAAATGCAGATATGGGATTAGTCACTCCTTGTGGAATGTGTAGGTGGTGGGGAGGTCTCAAAGTCAAATATACAGCTCTGTTTCTTCACCTGAGGACGGCTGCTTGTGTTGTGGCCGAAACGTCGTGAGAATTTTTATTTTATTATGTTTTATTTTTATTATTTTATGCATGTCTATTTAGACACGAAGTGTTGGGATTTGGAGCTGTTAAACGGTATTACACCCGCCCATTAAAGTAAAAGAGGATACTCGGCTGCAAATGTGACCAGGAGATAGACGTGAAGCAATGGATTCTTGGATCTATCTGTGTGGAGCTTACATCATGCCCATTTTTGTGAAGATGATGCTTCTTAACACCTGATTGAGTAGCGTGGAAGTGCCGGCTCGATACATTCGAGATTATAGAGAATATTTACAGACTTTGGCGAGGAGGTCTGTAGAGGCTTTGACATTAAATATTGGTCGTCCCGATAACGTCTCTCTATAATTCTAGTCGGGTATCTATTACACTGGTCAACACACTTTTTCTGGCATAAGGTATTCCAACGGGTTCAATGTAATTTTGGCGTGCTGATTCCAAATCTGGCATCAGTTTTTGTCTATCACATCAGGTTTTTGAGATATCAAATATTGCATTTTCAATAAAAACTGCAGAAGAAAAATATTAAATAAATGTGGATATCTACATAAAATGATATTATAAACACACTATCCTAAAAATACAGCACCATATTTTAACACTAAAGCAGTCACTGACTCGCAACAACTTGCAATCATAAGTGACGGAGTTAATTTCGGGTAAAATCAATGAAAATGGGGTATGCCGATAGCATAAAATGATGTGACAGAGCAAATCAGATTTGGAATCAGCACCCTGAAATTAGTCTAAAACAGCTGCAAAAGTCCAGGCCAGAAATTTTTTTTTTGTTGACCAGTGTTAATGGAAAATGTTGTGCACATCTCCTTCATGAATGGAAAATTATAGACAAGCCACAGTAGTGCGATTGTGGCTATGCATCCCAAACTTTGGACCAAATAGTAAACCCATAAGAGACACGTAAAGATGCAATGAGAATCAATGAGATACATACTCATAGAGATACGTAGATAGCCATAGAGATGCATGCTGTACAGGCTGGTCTAGGTGTCTTGTGACTCCCATTTAATTCTCTAAAACGTAATATTTTTAAAAATGTTAAAGTATATGCAAAGGAAAAAAATAATCATCGTTTTTTCCCCTTTTTTCTGGCAACAAAATTGAAACCTTTTTACAAGGAATCATGTTTACATTAACCACAATACCTGCGGTCAGAATGCAAAAACAGCACTCTAATAAGGTATGCATTGTCCTTGAAATTGATTGATCCACCCCAGAGACAGCTTTCCTTAGAGCCTTGTCTCATGTGGTGTTCGACCAGAGGACGCCAAAAGGCGCACAACTCAAAGAGAACGCACTATTATTATATTTTGCTACTGGCAAAGGAGGCCTCATGATGATGGGAAAAATAATGTTTGGGGTAAATTTATTGGGGGTCACAAGACATCTGGACCGCGATGTACATTAAAGACAAGCCACAGCAGTGCGATTGTGGCCATATGACCCAAACTGTGGACCACG